GCCGGGGGGGAGGGGTGGGCCGGAAGAAGCCTCTGGAAAGGGGGGGGGGCTCGCCGTGGCCAGCCCGAGTCAAGGGGAGCACCCACGCAGAGGACCTGAACTTCCCTAGGTCACGAGCGGAGTGACCATGCTCAGTTCGCTCTCGGAGGGGGGAGAACTGTGTAGTGGGGTACCTGGCTGGTTGCTGTGCTGGGCAGTGGGCTGTGAGTGACCTTCACTGGCTGCAGCACGGCCCAGCAGGGCAGGGGATGAGTCACTAGGCAAGGGTCTCTCAACCTGTCCGACCAGCTACCCCCCAGGGAGAGAAACAAAGGAAGGTGGAAAGCCGCCCTGGCTGGGGCGGGGCTGGAAGTGAGTTGGTTAGTTTCTGTCGGGGGATCATGGAGGAGACAACCTAGGGAAAGGGGCTGGAATTTAGGGGCCCAGTCTCCCCCATCTCAAGGGGGGCTGAGGCATCCTAGCCCCAGTTCCTGTAACCAGATGACATCTGTGCTGTGCTGTATCCTGGAGAAGCAATAAACTCCCTCAATTCCACTGGCTGGTGGAGTCTGTTCGTGCCACAGCCACAGCAGTCTCTTGCTAGGATTCACCAGCGACTGGTGAGCCGAGGGGCCCTCACTGGCAGCTAAACAGCCTGAGTCAGGGCCACAAGCTGAGACCTGGCTCATGCTGCACTAAGCAGGGGTGGGCTGCAGGCCGGGATGCCAGCACTAGATCACCCTCTACTCAAAAGGGGGTCTTCTCTCTGGGCGTGTCTGCGCATAACCCCCAGGGCTCGTGTCTGTGAGGGTCAGATCACATCACTTGATGGGTTATGATAGAGGTGCATCAAATCATGACAGGTCTGGAGAAAGTGAATAAGGAAAAGTTATTTACTTGTTCCCATAACACAAGAACTAGGGGTCACCAAATGAAATTAATGGGCAGCAGATTTAAAACAAACAAAAGGATGTTTTTCTTCACTCAGTGCACAGCCAACCTGTGGAACTCCTTGCCAGAGGATGTTGTGAAGGCCAGGACTTTAAGGCTGTGTCTAGACTACATGCCTCTGTCGGCAGAGGCATGTAGATTAGGGTTGTAGGCAAAGGCAAATGATTGCGGCTTCATTTACATTTACGTGGCTGCCGCGCTGAGCCGACAAACAGCTGATCAGCTGTTTGTCGGCTCGCGTGCTAGTCTGGACATTC